AGATGTGTGTCTTTAAGATTTTTTTTATAGTATTTTTGTAATTCAAAGTACTTTTTTTACTAATAAAAGTTATTTATCTTTAAAGAATAAGAATTAAACTTAGTAAAAATAAAAAATTTTTAAAATTTATTGTAATGATTATAAAATATTTTGTTTATTTAATATTTAAAAAAATTTAGGTCTCTGAAAATCTAAGGTAAAATTTAATATAATTTTAAAAGGTCACTATATATATATGGTAAAATTATGAGATAAGAAAGGTTGGTAAAATTACTAGTAAATCTGAAATTTTGCCCGGAGACCTTTATTAGAAGTAAGCGGGGTCCTGTTCCAGTTCTACCAAGACTCAAAAACAAACGTCGATACCAGAAGCTTCGGAAGATAATGGGCCATTTCGCTTAGTGGTACCATCCAGCTTGTACTCGCAACAAAGTAGGATGGTACCACCGATTCGTAATGTAACCGTACATAGGGAATTAACGCCCATTACACGCATAGCCGAACCATATAGGAGCAATGTACGCATCGCCGAACCATATAGGAGAGAATCAATGCCAATTATACGTGAACCTTATAGTAGTAATTGGACTAGAGATGTAAATGGTGAGCTACAATTGACTTTTGTATTCATTTTAGAGTTCTGGTCGACTTTAACGTTTTTTTAGAAACGTATGATCTCTGAGAAGAAAATGCCTACTTACGGGGAAGAATTGACGAATTAAATCGGCAACTCGATAATGCAAATGGCGAGTTGCGTGACCTACGGCTAGATGTTGGCCAATTACAATCGTATAACAATATACTTAGTCAGGAAAATGACGGCTTGCGTCACCGACATTCATCTGACCTTCAAGATATCGAATTTGAAGAGGATCAATGACCAACAAAGCGTAGGAAAAGAAAAAATCTTGTGCGCGATTCTGAAGATGAAATGGAAGTAGATGAAGAAGAAGCTAGGGTTCGTCCAAAATTCCTCTTTCAATGTATGCTTTTAACGCTCGCTAAACCGATATTTTGTTCAATTTAGGCCAAGATGAAGACGATTCTAAAAACTTTTCCGATTGAACTAGAATTAATATACGATGAAAAGTTTAGCAGTGAGTCGAATGATGAAATTCTTCAACAGATTATACCTCGATTAATTGAAGCGATGAAGCCAAGGTATACTCCACGATACAGGCAAGTCAAGTCTTGGCTTGCCGCTTTACATAAACATCGCAGAGTGCGTTTGTTATATAAACAACGTGGCACTTTAGACAAAGATAATCGTCGTCTACATCGAAACAATCGGTTAAATGAGGTAAATAATTTCTTTATTATTTCAAAAAAAAAAAATCTCATCATTCGTCAAAACTTTAAATATAGAAAAAAGCACGACGAGTTAAAGGCGCAAAATCGCTTTTCGACAAAAATGACGAAAAACTGGAGAATTATGATCGAAAAGAACTTTTGAATGTTTTAAGCGACAACCGATATCACTCTTCAGAGTATTCTGAATCGGATGAGGAGCAACCAGACGGTAAAAGACATATCAATGTTTATAATCCGTCTTGGAGATTTGAAGAGGTTCGATAACTTATTTGTCGTATTTTTATTTTTTATTTACAAAATATCTTGGACCAATACGCTTTCTCTCTTCAATCTGCACAACTGATACGAACGCGAAATTATGATGATGAGATATACAGTGGCCTGCCAAAAGTGACCGACCACCTAAAAATTAATAAAATCAGTTATTTTCATTAATAATTTTTATATTTATTTTAAAATTAGAAATATAAAAACCTATTTTAAAAAGTATTTTTATACTTAATTAATAATAAAATTGTGTATAAATATCTAATTTTAATGTGAAAAAAAAAATTGACTTTTTAACCAGAGCAGCTAGAGCAAAATAGATAGCAAAAATCGATTTTTCAACTAAAAATTAGCTTATTTTCAAAAAATCAGAAAAATTTGATTAGTAATTGCTGAGAAATCCCCTCCTAAAAATCGGCAAAATTGATGATCTACATATAAAAATTATAAAATTTCACCAAAATTCATGATTTAAAAGCAGATTTTTCCAAGAACTGCTGATTAAAACTTTCTGATTTTTTGAAAATAAGCTAATTTTTAGTTGAAAAATCGATTTTTGCTNTTATTTTCGTAGGAAATTTTTATTAATTTAGTATTATTTCGTATTATTTTCGTATTGTTTACGTATTATTTACGTATTATTTTTGTATTATTGTTGTAAGAAATTTTTATTATTTTCGTATTATTTTTGTATTATTTTCGTAGGAAATTTTTATTATTTTAGTATTATTTTCATATTATTTTCGTATTATTTTCGTATTATTTTCGTAGGAAATTTTTATTATTTTAGTATTATTTCGTATTATTTTAGTATTATTTCGTATTATTTTAGATTATTTTAGTATTATTTCGTATTATTTTAGTATTATTGTTGTAGGAAATTTTTATTATTTTCGTATTATTTTAGTATTATTTTTGTAGGAAATTTTTGCGATTTAATTGATTTAATTAAAATAATTGGTAAATCAATCGAAATAAATCAGTTTTAAAACTTAAATTTGCTAAATTTTGTCAAAATTATTATGGTCGATTTTATTTATTTTTGCAAATCGGCAAATTAAATCAATATCAATTTTTAAACGAATAGTCGATTGTTTATGACGAATTTCATTTGCATGGCAGGTTCGAATTTTATTGATATGTACAGCCAATTTTTTTAACTAATTCTGAAACTTTGCCAATTTCTAATTGTGAGTAGCAGGTGTTACGGTGCAAATTGTCCATAAAATTAGTTGCTGATTTTTTTGGTACTGATCGGCTAATGTCAGACCGAATTTTGTCCAACATTCGGCAATTTAAAATTTTGCCGAAATGGACTATTCTGACCAGTGTGCTTCACCCATAAATAAAATAAAAAGAAAAGTTCAACGTTTAAGTAATGCACAAGAAGAACAATTTACTATTTTTTTTCAAAATCGTGAAAATGTTGCTATGAGTTCTTACTATATAGATGCGAAAACAGGGTTGCCAGTTCTATATCTTCGAGATCAAAAAAGTGAATTATGAAATAAGTTTACTGAAACTTATCCAAATGGTATGAAAAGATCAACTTTTATGGCACGTCTAAAAAATTCTACCAATTTGAAATACCGTGATGATCTTGGAGGTTTATGTCAAATTTGCAATGATTATGGATTTGAGGTATTTGAGAATTTGGCCAACATAATACGGAATAATTTCAAAGATAAAACAATTATGATTAGTTGAAACTAAATCATATTTACTTTTTACAATAACATATAAATTACTTATTAAAGATATTTTAGAATATGATTCTTGACCAACTTGACAAGCTGAAAAGACAATTAAAGCGAGATTTTGAAAAAGAACTAGCAGTTAATCCAGATGGTCAAGTTATTCACGATCCTTGTATTTCTCATTGTTTACCATATGCATTTGGAGAGTACAATAATAAACATAAAATACAATATTTAAAATGTAATTAACTTTTTGAATTTTTTGATTTCATGATTAAAAATACTTTTGAAAATTATTAATCACAACTTGCTGAAGCTAAAGAGCACCTGTTGTACTATCTTTCACATCAAGCATGCAAAGTATTTCTAAATGCCCAGTTTAATGCCACATTAGCTGAGTTGAATTTAAGTGGTGCAGTTATTATTGCTGATTATAAAATGCGAATATTACCACAATCAGCACATGAAACAAAGCAAGATTTTTTTGGAAAGCGTGGATGGACCTTGCATACTATTTTGATTTTTATGAGGGAAACAAATTCAAATAAATTAGATATTGAAGCTTATGATCATTGGTCTTTGGATACCAAACAGGATGCTTAGTTTACAGCATCGGCATTTGAAGCAGTATTTGAAACAATAAGTAAAAAGCCCAAATGGATCAAAGTAATATCAGATAATGATCCACATTACCACAATTCTGAACTCATGGCAATTGTAAGTTATTGGCATACTTGGTATGATATTGAAGTTTGGAGTTGATTGTTTCTTAAACCTGGGGAGGCGAAAATAATGGTAAATTCACATCATGCATCAGTAAGTTCTAATCCAATTGAAATCAATTGACTATAATATCTGATTATATTATACCATCATTCCCAGATAACGTATGCAATCAAATGATATTTACGAATTGGATGTGATTTATCAAGTGATGATGATATTGTTTAAGCAGTAAAAGGATTATCTGGAACTTCATTAGCTAATCTTGAACCCAATCGTAACAATGATTCTGAGAGTCATGAAAAAAATCAAAAAAAAAGTCAAAGATTAAAACAATCAAAGGGATTTCAAAATTATTTTATTGGAAATGGCCTTGTCAGGGTAATATGATAGATATATATGTGCTCGCCCATTACCTCATTTTGGAGCATGGAACAATTTTTCACCATCACATGTAGCCAAACTTTGGAATACGCCTCTTCACCAACCTCAACCATCAATATCTCAATATACTACTTCAGAAACACAATGGACTATGTCAATTGCATTAGAATCAGGTATTTCATTACGTTGGCGTATGTACTGTATATTTAAATTGATAAAATTACTGATGGTTATTTTTCAAATAATCTAGATCTAATAGAAAATGATAAGAATGCTGGTAATATAACTCAAACCTTTATGTATTAGTTACTATGAGATAACTTTATGTGTGTTTGAAAATTTTAGATGAAATTCTCCCAAATGAACAACCTAATGATCCAAATTCTTTCAATAGTAAAGAGGAAATAGATATTGGTAAGTCAAACTATAAACAAAAATTACATAATGAAGATATATTTATATACTTTACATTATTCCTTCCATTTAAATAATAGATCAAAAATTTCCATTAGCAAAAGGGTGGGCGTTAAAAGGTAATCAGAAATTGGGCAGAAGAGGTGGAAAAAGAATGAAAAAAAGAGGTAAAAGCCCTATTAGAGCTTTTTTTCCTGAATGGGAATTGTAGGTCAGAAGATAGGCTGAATGCTCGAAGTATGCGTGATGAACTATTAAAACATGTTGAAGCTGGTGAACTTGAAGAAGAGGACATCCTAAAAGTCAATACTATACAAAATTGGATAAATACATATACCTGTGTTTTTAAAGAAAGAGCTACAGAGTGTGATTTGGCTAATAAGTTTGAAAACGTCTTGAATTTATCAGAATAGAAGTTGTTATAACTTAGTTTATTTATAAAATAAAGTAAAAATGTATAAAAGTTTGGTGAAATTTAAAAAAATTTTACCTTCTGAATTCTTATTTTACCTAATAATATATGGTAAATGCCGCATGCTTCCAAGGTAAAGTTTGCCAAAAAAAATTTTTACGCTTGGTGGCTTTGAAAAAATAAAAGTATGTCGTTTACTTTATTGTTGGTTACTATTTTTAGTAAAATATGTTTATAATTTTATTACGTCAGAAACTGCCAAAATTAGTGTATTACGACAAATTAGTATATGATTTGTGTCAAATTTTATATGTAATTTCGCTAGTTGACTTGCAGATCATCAATTAATAAATAAATTATATAATTACATATGATATTCTACTTACTTTATATTAGTAATGAATTCTACTAAATATGATTATTTTTTTTTTAATTTCAAATTAATAAATATTATCTTTACTAAGAGGCGTGCCAGAAATCACGTGATTATGCTCAATTAGAAACCTGACTCCCCTACCTACCATGTAAGGATGGGTCTGCAAATGATTTTCAAATTCCACAATATTGCAGATTTTGGAGTTGAATTACGGTTAGTAGTTCGCAATTCCGCAATTCTAATTGACTTACATACAAAAACATCAGAACTAATAGTTCTGGAGTTTTTTTATATAAAAATGCCAGAACTATTGCTTCTGACATATTTTTTTATAAAAACGCCAGAATTATGGGTTCCAGTGTTTTCTTTTGATTTTTTTATATAAAAATGCCAGAACTATGGATTCCAGCGGTTTCTTTTAATTTTTTTATATAAAAATGCCAGAACTATGGGTTCCAGCATTTTCTTTTAATTTTTTTTATATAAAAATGCCAGAACTATAGGTATCAGCGTTTTCTTTTATTTTTTTTTATATAAAAATGCTGGAACTATGGTTTTAGCATTTTCTTTTAATTTTTTTTAATATAAAAAATGCTGGAACTATGGTTCCAGTATTTTCTTTTAATTTTTTTTATATAAAAATATCGGAACTATAGTTCTGGCGTTTTTTTTTATTTTTTTTTATATAAAAACGCTAGAACTATGAGTTCTGGTATTTTTTTAATTTTTTTTATATAAAAACGCCAAAACTATAGGTTCTGGCATTTTTTTTAATTATTTTTTAAAAAAACGCTGGGATAATAGGTTCTGGCATTTTTTTTAATTATTTTTTAAAAAAACGTTGGGACAATAGGTTCTGGCATTTTTTTTTAATTATTTTTTTTAAAAAACACTGAAACAATAGGTTCTGGCATTTTTTTAAAATTTTTTTTTATATAAAAACACTGGAACTATGAATCTCGACATTTTTTTAAATTTTTTATATAAAAACGCAGGAACTATAGGTTTTAACATTTTTTTTAATTTTTTTTATTAAAAATGCCAGAACTATTAGTTCTGACGTGTCAATTTTTATTTTTTTTATTTATAAAAAAATGCCAGAACTATTAGTTCTGACGTGTCAATTTTTATTTTTTTTATTTATAAAAAAATGCCAGAACTATTAGTTCTGGCATTTTTTTGCAGTTATAATAAGAGAAAACGCCATTTTAGCAGTTTTTTCCAATTACTGATCCACCTTTTTCTAAAAAATAAAATCATTTTTTTTTTAAATTTTGTTAATGAAAAATGATTTTTTTTTATGATTAATAATAAAAAGAAATATATTTTTTAGTAGTTAAATTAAAAAATTATATTTCATTTAAAAAAAATTAGTTTTTTTTGCAGACATTTCACAAATCCGCAAATATTCTGCAATCCTGCAAATATTCTGCAATTGAATTGTAATACTTTGGATATTTGCAGATTTGCGGAATATTTGTGGAATTGCAGATAATTGCGGATTTGCAGATCTGCGGATTTTTAGATTTAAAATCTGCAATGTTCTGCAATACTGTAAATCGCAATTATTCTGCAATTACATATTTGCAGCACTATCCTTACCACCATGTGATTGAATTCTGATTGGCTAAAAAAATACATACAGTATAATATATATTAATATATATATATTATAATACAATTAGTTTGCTATCTAATAATCCAATTTGCATAAACTTTTTTTTGTTTTGTAGCCCTATTTATTTATGCTTTATAAAATAAAAAAATTCATTGAAATTGGACTGCTAGATGGTGAAATAATTGCAAAAAAAGCTTGTTAATAAATAAATTATCATATATTATATACAGTCAACTTTTCTTATAACAAATTTTGATATAACGAATTTTACAATATAATGGATCTTCAGTATGATACAGATTTTAACATATGAAAAAAACCTCATTATACCAAATTTTACTAATTAAATGCTGTAACCGTTTAACAAAGTAAATTTTATAAACCGTATATGAAAAATGCCTCCTTTAATAACAAATTTTCTTTTATAACGAATTTTTTTTCAATATAACGAAAATATTTTGTATAACTTGCGTTTTTGCATTATAAGATACAATTATTATACGACAATATACCATAATATACAAAAATTTTCTGGTTATACCTAAGGTTGCTTGCTAAAACTTAGGGTTTAGGCAAGATGGCATTTCGCTGAAAAGCGAAATTCTGCTAAAACTATATTAAAGTTATATTAAAAAACTGGTGAAACTTTGGAGAAAGGCGAAACTGCCGAAACTTATTATAAATGCTAAAACTGCCAAAACTCTGCCAAAACTATAATAAATCTATAGTAAAATTTTGACGAAACTAATCGTAGGATTTTGAAGAGGTTTAGACAAGCAACCTTAGTTATACCAGATTTTTCCATCATATTAATGAATATTTCTATAACGAAGGCCTGATCAGTCTGGACGCCAACTTCGTTATATTAAGAGTTGACTGTATATATTATAATACAATTATTTTACTATCCAATAATCCAATTTGCATAAACTTTTTTTTTGTTTTGTAGACTTCTTTATGCTTTACAAAACAAAAAAAAATCATTAAAATTGAACTGCTATATAGTAAGTTAATTGCAAAAAACTTCTTAATAAATAAATTACTACTATATACAGTCGCCACTGGATATAACGAATCTGCCGTTCCAAGCGTTTTGGTTCGGTATATGGTGAATTCGATATATGATATTCATATTATATACCGAACTGTTCGGTATATGAATTTTATTCAATTAAATTATAGCAGCATATACTGTAATATTTAAAGTTCAGATGATTACATGACTTACTATAACAGATAACACTATGTTTTATTTAAAATTTATGTGTTCATCGATTTTTTAAGTATTTACCAGCTATTCAAATGAAAATTTTATCTGATACTAGCAGAAATAATTTTTCCGGTAGTCCATTCTTTTATATTACTAATTAAAGTCACGTAATAGTTCGGTATACTAAATATGTAACTGATATACTTGGGCTGGCTAAAATAAGTTCGGATGCGGTATATAATAATTTATTATGTGATTTCGTTATATCCAGTGCAATTAATTATAAAAAAATCGGTTCTGTGAAACTTGGTTCAATACAACAAGTTTTCGGTACAAACAGGTTCGTTATAACCAGTGGCGACTGTATTACATATATATTATAATACAATTATTTTACTATCCAATAATTCAATTTGCATAAACTTTTTTTTATTTTGTAGCTCTCTTTATACTTTATAAAACAAAAAAAAATCATTAAAATTGGACTTTTAGATGGTGAGATAATTGCAAAAAAAATTTATTAATAAACAAATTATATATTATTTACTATCCCTTAAATGGTAAAACACTGCAGGCAAATTGCCTGCAATTTTACCAAAAATTCAGTTCTCATCTAATTTTATGAAAAACGAAGTTATTTTAATAAAATTTTTTTTTGCAAAGAGCTTAAATCTTAATTTATGTGACAAAAATTATTATTTGTTGATTTTATATTATAAAATTGAAGATTAATTATTGGACAAAAGTTGTATTTTTTAGATGACAAAAAATTTTGAAAAACTTTGCATTTAACTTTGACGATCTCATTGGAATTTGATTATGGCTATAGTAAAGCTTATTAAAATATATAGATTTTGCTATGGGGAAAAACTTTATTATTATGATTATTAACGTTTAGAACTGGCAATTTGACTTTACATAGAACTCTAAAAAAAGAATTATTTTTGTGAACTTGTAAAAAAATGCATAAAGTTAAATTTTATCATCTCTATTTCGTTCATTAGGGTTTGAAGTTTCATAATAAAAATAAATAAGTATATTAAAATGCTTTGTAATGAAGCAGAATTTTATGGCAAAGAAAATTAATTTATTATATAAACTTTCTGATGTTATTTTTTTGAGGTTAATTTGCACTGGTCGAAATAGAACAATTCGACCTAAATTTGACCAGGTCAAATATAGGTCGAATGATGATTTAACCTGTGTCAAATTAAGGTCGAATTTTTGGGCGCATTTAGGGTGCCAATCGTCTCAAATTCGGAAAGGATATTTGGCTAAAATTAGATTCAAATTCGGAAAGGATATTCGGCTAAAATTAGATTCAAATTCAGAAAGGATATTCGGCTAAAATTAGTTCTATATTAGGACATTATTACATATTTGTTCGACCCTAAAAAAAACTATATTCGACTACTATATGTAACCCGAATATTATTGATAAATAGAGTTTTCAAGGACGAATAATAAAGCATAGTATAAGCAAATAAAACCAGTTTATTTTATATTTTATATATATTGACGTATAGTAATATAATTATATAAATCAACCCATGTACATAATAATATATAAACCACAATAAACCAACCATATTAAGCCAAAAAAAGAAATATAAAATATACTAATAATACCATATAATAAAAAATAAACCCAATAAACCAACCAAAAAAAAGAAATATAAAATATACTAATAATATTCGTCGGCTTCAAAGATTTCATAAATTTCCTCGTCTTCTTTTGCTTCTTTTGTGGCTTTTTCTTTGCCTTTTCGACTCCTTTCGGCTCTTTGTTGCTAATATGATATAAACAAAATTAATTAGCGATATTTGCGATGTAAAAATATTAAAAACAATTCAACTTACTGTCGTCGAACTTTCACCAATCTCATCCAAATCTTCGGGTCTAATCGAATTCATTTCCGCTGAATTTAACAAGAAATCCGAATATGGCTCCGTTAAATTTGGCTCCATTGGCTCACAATCTTCATAAGATTGAATCAAATCATCAATCACATTATCAGCCGCGTCATATTCGCTAATGTCGTTTGTTTCGTTGGTTTTATCAGTTTCGTACATTTTCGCTTTATCGAGCGCCCATTCGGGCGCATTCTTGAGAAGTTCACTAGACGTAAAATATATGTCATCATTATAAATTCTCTCTCTTTGCTTTTTTGCGTGTTGAATATATTCTGCTTCAGGGTCCAATACGTTTCGTAATAGGTGTTTTAACTATTTAAAACAAAGATAAACTTTATATATCGAATAAATATTAAAATAGGTTAATAGCAATAATCACTTTAATACTTTGTTCGAACGCCATTCCTGATCGTATACATGCAGGAACCGCTTGTTATTAGGCAATTTCTGTCTTGATTCGTCTTCGAAATCCGATTGCTCAATCGAATGACAATCATTCTGTAGGAGCATTGGTAATAATTCATCTTTATCGAATTCCTGTATGTTGGCATCATTTCTTTCGTATAATTTTATTGCGGCCTTTACTCGTCTATTTTTTTTCTGTCGAATATATAAAGATTAATTTCAAATGACTAAAAAAAAAGAAGTGTATTAAAATAAAATACTCCTCACTTCGGATAATCGCGCATTTACGTGCATTCTTCGATCTACTTTGTCTAATTGGCCTGATTGTCGTTTCCGTTATCTATCTCTTTTATGCTTGTGCATCGATCGTAACCAGTTTGACAATTGGGTTACTGACGGATTATAATGTCCACTCATCAACTTCTTTAATTCAGGTATCAATTTTTCGTATATCTTTGCTGTCTGTTCACTGAAAGTCTTACCATAATCCAACCGATATTCTTCGGGTATTTGACCTTTCAAGAGGTTCTTCATTTCAGCCTAAACAATAAGAGGAAATAATAAAATAATAAAAGCTGTATATATACATTAACACAATTCGGCTGCAAATAGTCTTGTAAAATTCTTACTCTTGCATCTGTAGCGGCAACTTCATCAGGAGATTCCTCTCTCGATTTTAATCTTTTATTGGGACGTTTTGGTGAATATTGCTGAGGAGGATTAATAATCTTTCGAGGTATGTGAAGTTGTTTGGATTGTTGAAGTTCTTCTCGGAGAGCTTTATTTTCTTCACATAATTCATTCGATTCGTTACTAAAAATTTCATTAAAATCCCGTAACATGGAGTTCTCCTCCTCGATCCTACGAACATGGTCTTCTAAATTATCTATTTTTCATTTCATTCCGGCTACTTTGGACTTTTCTTGTTTTAATTCGTTCTGTAGTCGAAGGGTTTCTTTTTTTAAATTTCCTAACTCAAAATTACCTATTTTAAATTATAAGGATATGTAACAAACAGATGTAATATAATAAATATCAAAATATAAAAATAACAAATTCGATTTACCCGCTTCTTCATTACTTGGTCGATCACTTCTTGGTGCTCCTTCTTCGTGATGTGAACGATAACTTTTTGGTACATTAATATTAGGATATTTTTTAATAATATCCGAAGCCGTTAAATTTCGTTGAGATTGAGATTGAGTTCGACCTATTGAGGCTGAAATATCTGGCGGAATAACGAGTTTAAAGGGAGATGAAGAAACTGTAGTATTAGTATTTTGTGGTGTTAGTGTTGACGAAGTGGTAATATTACGTGTTGATAGTGTTGACGAAGTGGTAATATTACGTGTTGAAGAAGCAATATTTCGTGATGCTGATGCTGACGATCGTGATGCCGGTGTTGAAGTGGCAATATTTGGAGGTGTTGGTGTTGACGAAGTGGCAATATTTTGTGGTGCTGGTGTTGACGACTCAGCAATATTTGGTGGAGAAGTATTTGGTTTCGATGGTTTCTTACGAGTCATTATTGGTTTTTTTTTCAAAAAAAAAAGAAAGAGATTTTTTGTACGGACGAGGAAATTGGTCCACCTTTTATATCTATTTTTTACTATCAAATTAGACTCTCAACAATCAACGATCAATTACACTTAAACATTTGTATCAAATTAGACTCTCAACAATCAACGATCAATTACACTTAAACTTTCGCATCAAATTAGACTTTCAATTAATTAAACAGATCAAATCAGACTTAAACTTTTTCATCAATCAGACTTAAACTTTCGCATCAAATTAGACTTTCAATTAATGAAACTGTTAAATCAAATTAAATAGTATGGTGATACGTATGTTTTATTTTTAAATTCCTATACTTATTCAATTTTCGTTCAATTTTTTGTCTATTTCGTCCAATTTTCGTATAGTTTTTTTAATTATACCATCAATATCACTTTAAAAACGGAATATAAAAAATCACAATATTACTAAAAATTCGACATCACTAAAAATTTGATATTAATAATTACAATTTTATTCAACGTAAAAACATATTACAACTTTATCATATCTGACTTTTATCAAAAAATGAATAAAGGGAGAAGAAAACGCATTGCTGCTAATATCTTGGACGAATATAATAATCCGAGTTCTTCAACCTCTGAACGAACTTATGCCGAATTTACGACCAGAAAACCAAGATCGAAGGTTCCGTGCTATTGCAGCAATTGTAATGGGAAAATGATTGATCCGCGCACAAAGGAGAGACACGAGCAAACGAATTCTTTAGAACCATTAAATTCCGATAAGGCTCCAACGTCTCAAGAGTTAGTAGAACTGATTGATTCGACAATATCGTTAGAAGAACCACAAGATACGACAATATCGTTAGTAGAACCACAAGATACGACAATATCGTTAGTAGAACCACAAGATACGACAATACCGTTAGTAGAACCACAAGATACGACAATACCGTTAGTAGAACCACAAGATACGACAATACCGTTAGTAGAACCACAAGATACGACAATATCTATTGATACATATTCTGATAATGATACGTATGAGGAACAACAATATGTATTTCTTCCACGTAAAAAAAGGTCAAAAACAGGCACACTTCGTCATATTACTGAAGTTGAGCAAGTCGCTGAATCAACTGAATATGACACGGATGATATCTACACTAGTGAATCTTCGGCACAAGAAGATTCTCCTAATAATGATGATAACGAATTTTCAAGTAATTTTGAGAATTATTCTCATCCTATGTTCGACATACCAGATATTTCAGACACACCGAATATTTCAGAATTACCAACAGATGAACTAATTAAGGGGATTTTGATATGGATTATGAAGTTCAGGTCGAGTCATAACATACCAAATACCGCAATTGAAGAATTAATACAATTTATTAAAATAATATTGAAAGTGTGTAAAAATATCAATCCCGAATCATTTCCAAATTCATTATATATGTTAAGAAAAGCGTTAGGACTTATCGATCGATTTACGCAATTTGCAGCTTGCCAAAAATGCCACAAATTATACAAAAAAGAGGATATAATATCAAATGATGATAATACTATTATGAAATGCAGCCATGTCGAATTTCCAAATTCGGCCACAAAGAGATTAAAGCAATGTCAAACTCCTTTAGGAAAGAAAATTTCTTTAAATAATAGTATATCAATTGTTCCTGAATTAATTTATCCGGTCTCGAGTATACAACAGCAGCTTTCTAGTATGTTCAAGCGACCAGGATTTGAAGAATTATTGCGGCATTGGACTCGTCGTTCAGTAATTGATAATGTTTTATCAGACATATACGACGGGCAAATTTGGCAAAATCTTAAGGAATCAAACGAACAAGGGTCAAATAACTTTTTCCGACCGGACAAGGCTGATACTCATCTAGGATTAATGATAAATTTGGATTGGTTCCAGCCGTACGAAGGAACGATTTACAGTACAGGTGTAATATACGCAATAATATGTAATCTACCTCGGGATGTTCGATTTAAGCCTGAAAATATGCTTATACTCGGCATATTACCGGGGCCCAATGAGGTTAAATTACATAGAGTAAATCATTACCTTTCACTAATAATCATGGAATTAGAATCACTTTGGGAAGGCGTGAATCTTAATCGCACTAATAAATGTCCAAATGGCAAAGATATTCGAGCTGCATTAATAATTGCTTCGTGCAATATTCCTGGAGCTCAAAAATTATGCGGGCACATCTCTGCCCTTGCATTATGCCATCGATGCGAAAAAAGGGCCAATAATCGCAATTTTGGTGGTATGGCGAATATGAGCAACTGGTTTATCATGAAAGATCCAGTCGAGCATCGTCAAAAGGCTTTAGAATGGCGAAGATGCAAATCTAACGCAGAAAGAGAGAGATTCGTCAAGGAGAATGGCGTAAGGTGGTCTGAAATATTAAGACTGCCGTATTTTGATCCGATTCGTTTTGTTGTTGTAGATCCGATGCATTGCCTTTTTCTAGGAATCACTAAATGGATAACAAAACGAATATGGATTGATGAAGGTGTATTAACAGAAAAAGATCTTCAATCAATTCAAAAGAAAATAGACGAATTTAAAGTACCATCAGATTTGGGACGAATTCCTGGTAAAATCCATTGTGGTGAAGGGTTTTCTAACTTTACCGCTGACCAATGGCGCAACTTTTTCCTAATATATGCCACTATTGCTTTATGGAATCATCTTACGGGTAAAGATCGCAAAATTCTTACGTATTTCATAAGAGTTTGTACGATTTTGATTAGACGAATTGTGGAGATTAACGATATGAAAGAAGCCCATGAACTTTTGATAAAGATAATTAAATTGATCGAAGAATGCTATGGCGAAGAAAAAATAAAGCCAAACCTCCACCTATCATTACATCTATGCGAGTGCTCTTACGATTACGAATCTCTGTATTCGTTCTGGTGCTTTAGCTTTGAACGAATGAATGGCTTATTAGGTAATTCAAATTTAATTGTGTCGATTTTTCGAATTATATTATTTCATTTAGCAAAGATTAATAATAAATTATTTATTAGGATCTTTGCCTAATAGCTACCGCCAAATCGAACCTGAACTAATGCGTCGATTGATGACCGAAACGCAAATAAATGATATTATTAATAGTTCAAGTTCAGAAGTAATAGGACTCGAATTACTAGATAAACGACCTTCTGTCAGTTCTCTTTCCGAATTTACAACAGATGAAATGTATCGATTTTTGATGAATTCCAGAAATATATCGGAGTCACCAATTACTGGTTGCGAGGAATTTCCGGGTAAATTTTTAGCACCGCAATCCAAAGATATTCATCTTGAGGAACAAATCTGCGATTTACTTATCGAATATTACGAGGATACATATGTAGATTATATATTCAGAAAACCGTTCACGGAAAATTTACCCAATTCAACGATCATTATCAACAGAGCGAATCGATATGGAAGATGTCAAATCTGTGCAGAAACTTTTGGATCTGCTGCTGCAACACGACATATTAAGAGCTCATTCGTCTTAGCTAAATTTATTAATCGTGATGGGAATAGCGTTGATACTTACCCAGGTCAAATCCAATTTTTTTTCGAACATAGCGTTCATTTATCTTCCCGTAATTTGACACACAAATTGGCTTACATCAAATGGTACAAACCGGCAAATTTGACATCTCGATTCCATTTCAGTATTGACGATGATGTCGAAACTTGCAACGTCAAATTATGAGAAGATAGTTTCTACCCAAGCAGTAGAGACAATATAATCCCGATACACAACATTTTAGGTTAGTTTATACCTGTAAAATACAAAAAATCGGATCGATCTAATGCCAGGGAATATTTAGCCGTTATTCCTATAAATAGAAAGTTCCATTTGCGTTGATTTAATATAACATTCGAACTGGTATTTACACCAATTCGAATTTCAAAGCATTTTTTAACAAATTATTTTTTTATTATATTTAGTATTATTAATATAGTATAACCACTATTTTATCTAGAAAAGTAAATAAAAAAAGCATGCAATTCGGCCATTATTTTTTATATTTTTTGTAAAAAAAAAGTTATAGTTCGACCATTATTCTGTTAGGTTGAATATAGTTTAATTTTATTATACGTATTTCGACCATCATTCTGCAGGATCGAATCAGAGTCGAATATAGATTGAATTGTATATCATTACTAATTTAGATCAATTTTTTTTAAAATTGGCCGAATTTAGGCTGAATTTTTTAGAGGTCGAATATTCCTATTTCGACTAGTGTTGTGTTTAATTTTGGTGATTAGCCACATATTAAACCATACAATTGATGCTAAGAATGTAGATCAATATAACTGTGGAATTATAGGATAATCCAAATCATATTGATAAAGTTTGTATTTAGATATAATTTATTTTAAAAAATTGCAGGCAAATTTGCCTGCATTACCGTTTAAAGGATAAAAGATATACTATTACCATAAAAAGTATATTGTGATATCTGATTGCAGGACCTGACTTCACCCACCCACTAAATCATGTAATTTTTGGCACATCCTTAATAAATATTTCAAATTTAATAGTTAATTATTAGTAACTTCTTTAATATTTTATTACTAAAATATTTTTTTCACCTTTTTTATTTTTTTCAATTTTTTTATATTTAAATTATTATTATCTTTTTTTATATAATTATAGTATTTTTAGACTTTTTTAATTACTGTTCAATTTCATTAGTTTTACTTCTTTTTTATTCAAGTATATTTTAAAGAAAAATTATAATATTAATAATTAAAAATGTAAAAAAATTGACATATCAAATTATTTATTAAAGAATAAATAGATAAAATAAAATTAAATATTGAATATAAAGATTTTAACTTGTTTGATACTTCAATAAAAGCTAAAAAAATAAAGCTAAAAAACTAAAGAATTAAGTTTTTTTTAGATATATTATTAAACTTATTAATCAATTAGTTTAATAACTTATAGTAAAATTTATTAATTGTTAGTAATACAATAGTAGATTAATATATAAACTAGGAAACGGGAACCGTTGTAAGTCCGGAGCAAGGTATAATAAGTAAAGATGTAGCGATATTCTACTAATTAGCAGCATAACGCCTTGGAATGCCTTGGAATTCCGGTAATTTTCTGCTGATTAGCAGCATAACGCCTTGGAATTCCTGGACAAAGAAACTCACGTGATTGAAAATTTACACGTTATTTCCATAGATCATCATAGTGCGTAGACATATATAGTCCTTCGCTTTGCTCCGGACAAAAAAACTTATTAATTATAATTTGATTTTATTTTTTTTTTTAATTTATAAAAAAAGTAACTATATATGATTTAAAATAAGGATACTTGGATACTTACCAAAACTATTTTTTTTAAAATTTTAGTTTAGTCAAAATTCAATTTAAAACTATTTTTTATAATAAAATTAATTGTCTAAACTGTTTTTATGTTTTTCTGAAACTACTTATAATTTAGAGAAGTTTCAGATTTACCAATTTTTTCATTAAAAATAAAGTTTTTGAGTTTTGGATTTTTGAATTTTATTGTTAAATGAGTTTTAGGTAGCAACATTATACCTTATAGTCTAAAGTAAGATTTACATATAAAACTCTTTAAAGATCCTATTATAAAAGGAACTTTTATATTACATTATTGATTTTTTTCCTTTTTAGTTAATTAACCAATAGAATTTAAGAAAATTCCAAGGTAAAGTTTTATATGAAAGTAAAATTTTCACTGGTAACATACTAAGTCTAACATTTGCAGTTGGTATAATCAAATTAGCAATGAAGGGTAAAACTGTTAGTAAGGAAAATATTTACCAAAAAGTAGGAAATTCAAAAATCTAGTTGCTGTAATTTATTAGCATATGTATTAGCTTATAATAAATATGATTAATTTTATTTTATAGCTTTACATTATAATATGTTAAATTGCTAAAGCAAAATTGATTATTTCAAATTAAAACATTAATTCTTGAGTATTAAAAATATAAACATTTCATAATAATTTTCTCACCAAATAAAAATGCATAAAGTATTTTAAACTAATATTTAAATTAATGATTATGGCTTATTAAACTTAATATTTATACATTAATAATGAAATTTTTTGAAAAAATCAATTTAATTATATTATAAAATCATAAAGTATAATAAAGAATATTTAATTAAACATTAAGATTGAAAAATTAAATTTTTTATTGCTAAACTTACAATAAAAAAATATTGTCATAAAAATAATTTTAATCATTAATAATCTTAAATAAGCGATTTTAAATTAATACCAAATTCAGATAGCAACATAATAACTTAACATAAGGTATAAGAATATTTAGCATTAATTTTGCATTATACATATAATGGATATGTATTGAATTTACTTAATGACATTTTTGGGATGATATCATTATCATCCCATTGTCGTTATGATTAATCAGCTGAACGTTAAGTCTATATTAATAATTTCACCAGCCATATCTTCAATTCCTTCTTTCTTTCAGAATCTTTGAGATTACGATATTTACCAATTTCATTATTTAAAAATAATCGTATTTTTTTTTTAACATTTATTAAATCCTCTCCAAGATCTCCAAAAATACATTGTCATAATTTAATAAGTTATACTTTGGTTGTATCATTCCATCAACTACACGATTTTTTTAATTGTATACATAGCAACTTCTATCCGTTTTCTATATACTTACGGAATAATATAAACATCTTTAACTGGACTATTTTTTATTATCATTTGATAATTAGATTTCTTATCTTTTGTTTATCCTTTTTTTGAATCCTCTTATTGAATTTTATTATATTTCTTTAAATCCCTTGAATTTCTTTATCCTTTTCTTGAATCATGACATCTTTCTCGTGGATCATGGCATCCTTCTCTTGGATCATGTAATACTTCTCGTGGATCGTGGTATGATCATGGCATCCTTCTCTTGGATCATGATACTCTTCTCATGGATCATAGCATCCTTCTCGTGTATCATATTGTCATAGACCATGTTATCATTTTCACGAACTATTCTATCCTTTTCTCGGATTATGTTACATCTTTCTCGGATTATGTTGCCCTTATCTCGGACAATGTTAACTCTTTCTCTAGCTATGCTAGCCATTTCTAGAGCTATGTCGGCAATTTCTCGGAGTAAGCTAGCCTTTTCTTGGGCTATGTTACTCTTTTTTCGGATTATGTGATTCTTTTCTCGGATTAAGTTAACCTTTTCTTGGATTAAGTTAACTTTTTCTTGGACCATATTATCCTTTTCTTAACTTATGTTATAGTGGTTTAACTTAATCATTCAAATTAAGTTGCTTTCTATTCTTAATTGCAACATCTAAAGATGATATGGAAATAAAATTTCGTTGCAGACTCGGAATGAGTAGTGTTACGTTATTTCGGTTACAAATTATTATGTTGCACGTCCATCAGCCAGGATCGTCATACGGCATTAATAAGACATACGGCATTAATAAGACGAGCACGTGTTCTTAGGACGCTCAATATACATGATCTTTGAGAGTTATCTTGTACTGTAAATTGTAATAAAATCATCAAAAATTTTGTTTAAAATTCCTCTATTGTCCAATCATAGTTTTATTAACTAGAAAATAAAATTTATCCTCGAATTCTTTCACTATTAAGAGAAGCAAATACCAGCAGCTATATTATCTATTCCATTATCATCCCAATTTTCTTCCATACAACTAGAATCTATATTGTCGTTATGATTAATCAGAAACTGGTCTAATCATTTCTATATCTTCCGTGCAATATTCTCTCCAGAATTTAATGCATATTGTTTTAATTTTTCTCTGTAAGTCAGTATCCTCGGTATTCTGTAAAAGCGATTTAAAAAGTATAAATTTAGCTTTATATAATGAGAGAAGATAAACTCAACCTTTCCATTAGCTTTGAGTCCATATTTTGGTACAAAAAATAAAATAAAGTAACAACGGTTTTAATAATTTCGCCATCCATATCTTCAATTTCTTTAATTTCTTTGTTTTTTCAGAATCTGAGCTTGCGATACTTACCAATTTCATTATATAAAATTAGCCGTATTCCTTTTACCATTAATATTATTAAATCCTCTCCGAGAACTTCAAAAATGTTTTGTCATAATTTAGTGTTATAACTGATTGTATCATTCCATCAACAATAAGAAGATTCTTTTTTAATTGTCCAAAGTTCCTTGAGGGTCTGTATACTTAAACATCGTTCAATAATGTGAATATAACTTAAAGAACACTATAAATATCTTTAATTTAACTAAATTTATTTTATTATCATTTTAAATTAACATATCGGTATTTAGAAACTTTCTTTTTGAATTTAATAATTTTTGTTTTAAATCTTGACTCGGTTTATCTTTTTTTGAATCCTCTTCTTTAAATCCTCTGAATTTCTTTATCCTTTTCATGAATCATGGCATCCTTCTCTTGGATCATGGTATCTTTCTCGTGGATCAGGGTATCCTTTTCGTAGAATACACCATCTTTCTCGTTGATCGAATGATACTTATCCTGGATTATGGAATCCTTCTCATGGATCATGACATCCTTCTCTTGGATTATGATATCCTTCTCTTGGATCATGGTATCTTTCTCGTGTATCATATTATCATAGACAGTGTTATCATTTTCACGAACTATTTTATCCTTTTCCCGGATTATATTACATTTTTCTCGGACTATGTTGCCCTTATCTCGGACTGCGTTAACTTTTTCTCGAACTATACTAGCCTTTTCTCGGACTAAGTTACCAATTTCTTGGAGCAAATTAGCCTTTTCTTGGGCTATGTTATTCTTTTCTCGTATTATGTTATTCTTTTCTCGAATTATGCCAGCCTTTTCTCGGATTATGTTAGTCTTTTCTTGGATTAAGTTAACTTTTTCTTGGGCCATATTATCTCAAATTATTTTATCCTTTTCTTTGGATTGTTACTTTCTATTTCTTTATTACAAAAGACAATGAGACGATGTGGAACAAATTTCGTTACATGTTACGCATCTATAAATGGATTGGTGCGGTCAATATTAACATCACTTGGACTGATCGTCACAACGTTTTAAAATAAAACGCACACATGATTTTTTGGCCCGCATTATGCAATATTTCGTAGGACGCTCAATTTATTGTAATCTTTGAATTATTTTGTTAATTGTACAGTAATAAGCATCATTCTAAATTTTGTTTAAAATTCTTCTATTGTTAATTACCAAAAAAAAATATGATTTATCCTTGAATTCTTTCTTCTATTAAGGGAGGTAAATCAATTGCAGTATTATCTATCCCCAATTTCTTTCATAAAACTAGGGTAACATATACTGTCATTATGATTAATCAGCGAAGTCCTTGAACGTTAAGTTTAAAATAAAATAACGACATTTTAATAATTTCATCAGTCATATCTTCAATTTTTTTTCTTGCCAATTTTATTGTATCCATATTTCTTTTACCATTATTAAATCTTCTCCAAGTACTTCAATCACAATTTAATTATACTTGATTGTATTATTCCATCAACTCTAATACGATTCTTTTTTAAATTGTATACATAACAGCTTCTATACATAACAGCTTCTATTCCATAGTTTTCTTGAGGTCTCTCAGTAGATAGTTTTTGTATAAATTTGTACCAAATGGGCTCATCCATATATAATTGGCTCTATATTGGCTTAAATTTGGATTATTTTTTGCATAAATTTGAGCTAATTTCGAGCCAATGAGCCCGTTTGGTATAAATTTATACAAAAACTATTTACTGGGTCTGTATACTTACAATAATGTGAAGTCGTAATTTAGGAACTCTATTTTATTTTTCTATATATTTTAACTAAATTTATTTTATTATCGTTTATAATTAACATATTGGTATTTAGAAATCTTTGTTTTAAATATTAGGCTTATTTCTTGAATCGAGTTGTCCTTTTTGTGAAACTTTTTATTGATTTTATTATATTTTTCTTTAAACTTTCTGAATTTCTTTATCCTTTACTTGAATAATAACATCCTTCTCGTAGGCAATGGTATCCTTCTCGTGGATCATATTATACTTCTCCTGGATCATGGAATCCTTCTCATGAATCATGACATTCTTCTCTTGGAGTATGATATCCTTCTCTTGTTTTTTCATGGATAATGCTATCAAAGATGTTGTCATTGTCGACTATTTTATCCTTTTCCCGGGCTATGTTACCTTTTTCTCGGACAATTTTGGTCTTTTCTTGGACCATGTTAACTTTTTCTCGAACTATGTTAGTTTTTTCTCGGGCTATGTTAACAATTTCTCGGATTAGGTTGACCTTTTCTTGGATAATGCTATTCTTTTCCTGGATTATGATATTCTTTTCACCGATTATTCTAGCTTTTTCTCGGATTAAGTTAATCTTTTTTTGGGCCATATTATCTTTCTCTTGAATTTTTTTCTTTTTGCTTTCTAAAATAGAAAAAAAAAATTTCGTTGCGGATGGTTAAATAAACATTTTGGGAAATTGCTGTTACGTTACATGTAAGGATATATAGGTTACAAATGATTATGCTGCATATCTATAAAAGGTTTAGCGTTTTCACATTTACTTTTTGTATGACAGTTTACTAAAGGCAAGTAACTAAATAATTGTCCTAGCGACCAACGCTAGATTGATAAGTTCAGTCGATTGCAAAGCATCGAATATTAAATACAAATAATTTCCATAATAATTCTAACGATAACTACACATATGATTCTTTTTCGACCCAATCAATCATAATTATCCAGCACTGACAAATAATTTTGATTGTGATATTTGAGTACATGCGATCACAAATTCTGTTATTGAATTTACTTGAGAGGAGAATTCAATATCAAATGATCTATAATAATTTCTTGTTGTTATAGTTTATTTTATAAAGTAGCAAATATCAATAATTATATTATCTATTTCATTATCATACTAATTATTTCGCCAACTATATCTTCAATTTTTTTTCTTTCAGGATCTTTGAGCTCGCGATATTTGCCGATTTCATTGTTTAAAACAATCAATAGAGTTAGGAATATATTTTTATCAACAATATTGTAAATCATCTATTTTCCAAGGACTTCAAAATTATACTGTATTGTCGTAATTTAATAAGTTATACTTTGGTTGTATCCCCAACTCTAACGCTAAATCCTTGCTCTTGTATACAGTTTCTGCTCTTGACATGCCGAATCACCGATTTGTTCAATAACTCAATAACGCGAAGTTGTACTTAAGAAATATTAATTTCTTTATTTTGATAATATAAATCTACTAAATAAGAATATAACTTATATATATTCATTAAATTTAATTTAATTATTTTGTCATCATAGAAACTTTATTTTTGAATTTAGTATCACCGTTATAAATCTCATTTTTTTTTCCTGATTCATTTTATTGAACCTTCTTAAAAAATTTCTTGAGTTTCGTTGTCTTTTCCTAAATCTTCTGAATTCCTTATCCTTCATGGATCATGACATCCTTCTCTTGAATCATGACATCTTTCTCCTGGACCATGACGTCCTTCTCATGAATTAAGTTATCCTTCTCCTGGATCATAGCGTCCTTTTCGTGAATCATAACATCTTTCTCCTGAATCATGAAATCCTTCTCTTGAATCATGACATCCTTCTCATGAACCATGTTATCATAGACCATCTTATCATTTTCTCGAATTAATCTATCCTTTTCTCGGACTATATTTTCCTTTTCTCGAATTATAGTATCCCTTTCTCGGATTATGTACTCTTTTTCTCGAATTATGTTTTCCTTTTCTCGGAATATATTATTCTTTTCTCGGATTATGTTATCCTTTTCTCGGATTATGTTATTCTTTTCTCGGATTATATTATCCTTTTCTCGGACTATATTGTCTGTTCTACTATGGTTCGAGTTCATGTTGAATTTCTTTTCTTTTTTGCTTTCTAAAGTTTCTTATATCAATTTAATTTATAATCCAAATTTAATTGCTTTACGTTATTTATTATAAAGGTATAATTCTTTAAAACATCCAAAGTCGATTTTTAACCGGTTAAATTTTAAAATTGAGAGAAGTGGTGTTATGTTACTTTTTTATGTGATAGGTTACACCGGTTACAAATTATTATGATACACATCTATAAAAGGATTAGTGCTATACTATATGCTCCAAGGACTTGAAACAAGATAATATAGTCGCCGGAGATTCTTTAATATAATTAAAGAATCTCCGGACGTTCAAATAATATTAATAATACCCTATAAAAAATTTTTATTCAATATACTCCGATTATTTTCCAGATATTTTGAAAGTATTCCGAAAAACATTGAAAACATTCCGATTACACTGTGAATGATATTTTTAGTCAAAATTTAGAAATTCAATATAAGAAAATTTTTAGTAAAAATTCCGAAAATAATCCAATTTTATATCTAGTTTGAAAATATTCCAATTATACTCTGAAAATTGATATTGATTTTAAATAACAATCTGATTGCACTAAAATTATAACCCGAATAATACTAAGTTTTTATCTAAATGAAATACGATTTTCTCTATCAATTATAATAAACTTATTTACTGCTATTTCAAGAAATCCCACACAACGATCAATAGCAGCCACATTAACAACACTTGTTTCACCAAAGTAGCGAAAAAATAGTACATTGTTGCTTAATTTTTCTGGGTTTCTTATCCATTGCACAAAGGCAAGCATTGATAACTCATTATTAAGTTCATGTACAAAATAATATAAGATTTGACCATAAAATTCACGCTCTTCAAAATCAACAGGTGCTCTTGGTAGATGTGCATTTTTGTCAACCAGAAGTTTTGCCTATATAATAATAAAATATTAGCAGAATGATTTAAAATAATATAATTTAAAAATTTTCTTACAGCAATTGAATAGTTATTTCGCACTATATCTCCTTTGCGATTAGCAAGTTTTGAGCCAATTAATACCCCAGATTCAGTCTGCAACTTGCCATACTTTTGGATATGTTCGGTAATTACCTAAATTTAATCAATTTTTGTATTTAAAATTAAGATTCTTGTAATGTCAATTATATAAATATAGATACATACACCTATGTCATTTATTGCCAAAT